GAGTCTTCTAATATATAAATGTATATACATATATCATTTTATTTAGGTCTTCTTTAGTTTCTCTCTGAATTGTTTCACAGAGTTTCTGTGTGTGTATAAACTAAAAAAAAAATATGTCTCTAAAAGCATTCTAGATTGTTTTGTATTTTGCTTATCACAGTGCTAGGAACTGAACTCAGAGGTGCTCTAGCACTGAGCTACAACCTCAGCCTCCTTTCTCATTTTTGCTTTTTTTAAATTTTGAGACAGACAATAAAGATATTTTAAATCTTCTATATTTATTAATGTTATTAATATTAAGTGTATATTTATATCTGAACAGAGTACATATGTGTTTCAAATAAACTAACATAGAAATGACATGCAGAACCTATAGTTCACATAAAAATGATATGTAATGATTTAAGTAAACTTTTTTTTTTCCCAGAGAAGTTTTAGGTAAACAAAAAATAATTTGGTGGATCACGAGCTTGGTAAGTTTTTATTATATAACAAACTCTGATTATATGACCAAAAACTAACTAAATAAATTTTTAGACAGGGTCTCACTAAGTTGTTAAGGTTGGCCTCCAACTTGAGATACTTTTGCCTTAATCTTCCAAGGAACTGGGATTACTGGGATTACAGGCATGTGCCACCATACCCAGCAGCAATCCAGATTGTTTTTTTAAAGCAGGTTTAATCTGAGTGTTAATACATATTACCTGTTCAATCATTTAATTTTATAATTAGGATAATGCCTAGCATTGCTTCCACTAGTGTTCCCCCAATAGTTGTTTTGAAAATCAATGCACATCATAAATGTTATTGCTGAGAGTACATTCTGCATGAGATAGTCTGAGAAGCATAACCATAGGAAGCAGATAGTTCATACTGTTATTACAGAGAAAGTTAAATACAAACTTTTAGACATCTTAATGGTGTATTTAAAGAGTTCTGGACAATAATTGTTGCTTATCTTCTCAAGTAAACAACAGATTATAAACTCACCCTGGATAATAACAGTAATAACAAATCACTTCTATAATGCTTTCTATGTGTCAGGTACTATTTTAAGAACTTTAAAACTATGAATTCCTTTAGTCTTTATAGCAACCCTATTGGTAGTGAATATTATCTTCATTTTACAAGAGGAAAATCAAGTCCAGAGAAGTTAAATAAGTCATCCAAAGTCATACAGCTTGAAGATAGTAGAACCAGAATTCAGACCATTAGCAGTATGGTTTAGAATTCATTTGCTTAACCTTTCTGTACCATGAGAGAATAGAGGATTTCATTTAAAAGTATTTGCAGATTTCTGCTTCCAGTAATGAGAAATTGGGTAATTCAGATCAAATCTCCCAGAAAGTAGAAAAGCTAAATAATGGGGCTGGAGTTACGGCTCAGCTGTAGAGCGCTAGCCTCACACATGCAAGGGCCTGGGTTCGATCCTCAGCACCAAATAAATAAATAAATACATGAGTGAATGAATGAATAAAGTTAGAAAATAATGATTTCTAAAAAAAAAAAAAGAAAAGCTAAATAAAATATTTTAAAAAATCTAAATGAATACATCAGAGAACAAATAAATGGCAAAGAATTACCAGTCCACAGTCCAAAGACCGAAGTCCAAAAAAGTCAGTCACATTTGGGTTTCTTTTACTGTGGCAGATCTGCTGATTCTATATGAAATGACTAGGAGGCTATATTCAGTCTTTGGGCAGTTTTATAAAGCTGGGGGAAGCCCTAGTAAAGCCCTGGTAAAACTGGGCCCCTTAAAGGTTGCATCCTAGGGGTAAGAGTGAACAAGAAATAAAACACAACTTTCACTGACTAAAACTGTTCCAAGTCATCTTGGTGGTCCAGAAAATATTAATCCCGTGAATTTAAGGTGATTAAAGTGATCCTAGCCTCTCATGAATCGTCGAATCGTCTAGGCATTGAAGAGCAAAGAAAATCCTATCTGGAAGAGAGTCTTATCCAAGGTTACGGCCTATTTTTACAACTTTCCAAACAAAGTATTTGACACATAGTCAAAGAAAACTAGGCACAAAACAAGACAACATAAATTTTATGCAAGAGAAAAAATAGATCATAGAAATGGATACATCATAGTTCCAGATATTTGGATTGTCAGAGAAAAGACTTTAAGATAACTATCTTAAACTATTTTCAAAGAGATAAAAAATTATATAGAAAATAAGTGATACAAGAGATATGAAAAATAAGTGGAAATTCAAGAACTGGTAAATGTTTCAAAGGAGTAAAATCATATAGTATATATTTTCTGATCACAATACAATTATAATAAAATAATTAATAAAAAGACAGTCTGTATTTTTGGAAATTAAGAAATAAATCTTGGGCTGGGGGTATAGTTCAGTGGTAGAATATGTGTTCAACATGTGCTAGGCCCTGGGTTCAATCCCTAGCACATGAGCACACAAACACATAAACACACACACACACACAAAAATCACTAGTTGGGATAGATATAACTCTAAACCAAAGAAGTCATAATAGAAATTGGAAAATATTTTGAACTAAATTCTGTAAAAAATATTGCTATTTTAGACAATTAAAATTGTGCCTAGAAGTTTCTGGACTTAACTGAATATATTACAAAGAAAGCATACTGAAAATTAAGGAGTTAATTAAGTACCTATATAAAAAAATTCAGGAAAAAAAAATGAAATAAGCCCCCAAAATTAAATGAAGGCAATAAAGAACAGAAATTAATCAACCAGAAATCAGATGATAGAAGGATTTAAAAAGCCAAAGTAAGCCAGAGCTTGGTTCTTTGCAAAAATTAATAACATAGACCACTGGGGTATCTGAGCAAGGGAAAAAGAGTAGCCATGTTACACATTTAAAAAATGGATATTATGCTGGGGCACATCTGTAATTCCAGCTACTCAGGAGGCTAAGATGGAGAGGCCTAAGTTTGAGGTCAGAATAAGACTCTGTTTCAGAAACAAAATTGTTTTAAAAGTTGGGGAGCTGGGGATGTAGCTCAGTGATAAGAGTGCTTGCCTAACATGTATGAARCCCTGTGTTCAATTCTCAGTATTCCAAAAAAAAAAAAAAAAAAGTGGGGCTAGAGATGTAGCTCAGTGGTAGAGTGTTTGCCTAGTACATGCAAGGTCCTGGGATCAAGCCCCAGCACTGCAAAAATAAACAAATAAGTAAATAAAAAGTTAAAAATAACAAAAAAARGATATTTAAGAAGGATGCAATGTAATAAAAGGATTTTATGACTTTATGCCAGTGATTTTGAGAAGTGTAATGAAATAATTCTTAAAAATATACAACTTACCAACAAATCCCACCATTATGTACAACTATAATGCACCAATTAAAAAAAAAAGTGTCTATGTTTATACCTTCAAAAAAAGAAGAAATATACCACTTATAAAAAAGCCAACACAAGAACAAAATATTTCCATAGTTATGAGATGATTATTAAAAATTATATTTGTAATTAAATTATTAAACTAATGAAATGAAATTCATAATTCAAAGCTTTTTACAAAGAAAACTCCAAAGTCATGTCTTTATCAACAATTTTACTAATCATTTATGGCAGAAATAATTCTAATTATGTATAAATTGTTCCARAGAATAAAAAGAAAGTGATAAGCAAACTGTTTAGTAACTCATTTATAAAATCAGCAATAAATGGAAAGTAAAGTTCAAAAATATGAAGAAAAGGAGTAACTAAACATAATTAAAGTCAGAACAGTGGTTACCTTTAGATAAAAGAGTAGAGGTTATAGTTGGGAAAGGGCAGTCGGGGGGGGGGGGCAGGGGGCTTCTGGGAGCTGACAATGTTATGTTTTCTGACCTCAGTGGTGGTTTCCAAGTATTCGCTTTATAATAAATCATTAAAATGCACATTTCTGTCTATATGCAGGTGTAATATAATTTGTAATAAAAATTTAATTTAAATTTATGGAACCAATGTTACTTAATAAAAGAATGGTATAAACAAACATCTGTTGACTTTCATTAATAAACTTTTCTTTCAGTGCTGGAGATAAAACCTAGGGACTCACACTAGGCAAGCACTCTACCACTGAGCCTCAACCCCAGCCCTATATTAAGTAATTTTCTTGACTATGTATCTTTACTTACTCTAAAAGGTTTGTAACTTCCTCTTCTTAGATACTCTCTTTTAGAACTTAATCTCTTTACTGTCCACTAGCTTCCAAGTTCCATTAACACATACTATACCAGAATCAATAGCTATAATTACAATTTGTAGAAAGAGCATCAATTCTTGAATAGTCTATATTTTTTTCACATGGGGGCACTGTTTGTAAACTCAAATTTTAATCTTGGTTTCTGGGATGATAACACACTAAAATTAACCAGTGATTTCTAATGATTGCAAGATGTATATTATAAAGGCATACAAAGCAGGTAGTTTCATCTGGAAACCAAATAAATATCAACTCAACAGTTTTCCTGGGAACTTTCACATCTGTTTTCTATCACTGATTATTTTAATCTATTTGTCCCCAGTTTTTGTGTAGTCAGTCCTAGTTCAAAATCCAGACATTCGTCTAGAAAAAGCCTTTCCAGTAACAAAAAATTTAGTGACCTGAAATACAAATGGTCTTTTATTGAGACCAAGCTGTTGATTATTTCTTCTCTAAAACTATAATAAAAAGACAGCTAACTAGGACTGAAGTGTTGCTCAGTGGCAGAGTGCTTCCCAGCATGTACAGAAGGCCATGTGTTGAATATCCAGTACCACCAAAAAAAGAACAGCTAAGTGAACATAGTTCAAATTTTGTTTTTGTTTTGGCAGCAATTACAAAACCTATAGTGAAGTATTGCTCCTACACACCTTTCTAAATGCCTTTTAACATCTCCTTTAAGATGAATAGTAAGCATGAAAACATCAGAGTTTAAAACAATTCTGACTCAAATCATGGCAATCCAAACTTTGGTTTACACACTATTATCAATTAAATAAAATTAAATAAAGGTACGATTTTCACTATAAAATTTCTCACTTTTGGAACATGAGGATTAAATTCCACAGCTCTATGAATTGCTTCCACAGCATTAATTTCTGCTGTGCTTAATCCTCTTCTGGAGGCTGTTTCTGGAGAGAATCTGTAAGAAAAAACCACAAAATAAAGAAATGAATAACAAAAGGAAAGAAATTATGGATTTAGACCATAATATAGTTCTCTAAATCAAAGGATTCTGGAAATGACTAAATTCAAAACCAGATAACTACTAAGAATGATAGTTAAAGCCTTCTGGTTCAAAATATAAAAAACAAGAAAGCCCTTTAAGGAATGAAAATTTTCAAACTTAGGTAGAGAAAGCATTCAGAAGTTCATTGAAGGCACACTTTGGGAAAGGTAAGAAATTCTACACAGGGACATCCAGAGAATCTCATGAAATATAAGTATATTCATATCAAATTTTTTTATCTGAGAAGAAATAAACTATAAATACTTCATTCTAATTAATATCAAGGCGTAGTAATATAAAGTGAAAAACAATGGCCACCATTTGATTAGTCTCTGATTTTCTTTTTTTGAGACACTGTACCCAACCAGTTTCTGAATATCTTACCTGCAGAATAAAGAAAATTCACTAAGAGCAGTCAAAAACACAAGGAAAACAGAATAACACAATCCTAATATAAGAACAGACAACATGAAACTTATTTTTCCATCATACTTCTTACTTATTAAAACTATTATTTATCTGTACTTTCTTTCTAGATACTGGTTTAGGCACTCCATAATTACGTAATCCTCATACAACCACCCTACAGTACTATTTTCATTTTACAGATGAGGAAAAGACTCAAAATAATTAACCTAGCAAAAATCCTACAGCTAGTATATTATAAAGTTTAAATTTAAGTCTCAGTTTATTTAGCTCTAAAAATCTCTCTCCACTACTGAAAGAGAGAAGCCTCAAAGCCACAAAGGATCAAAGGTTATTTAGAAGAAAGCAGAGAGGAAGRGCATAGTTTTAAAAGTCAGTAGAGGTAAAACATAATATTGAAATTAGCATTCTTCTCAAATAATTGTAGTTTTCTACTTGCCTAGTATGCACAAGGCCCCAGGTTCAATCCCCAGTACTGAAAATAAATAAATARATAAATTACAAAAAATGAATCAAATAATTAGTTTTCATAACTACTTACTTATCTGAAACAGTCCTTGTTTTCAACAGTGCTGCTGTATAACAGATTGCTGCTGACTTTGGAAGGCTTATATCTGAAATAATAATTTGAATTCAGATAAAAATTACAAAAATGTGTTAACATAATATTTTTATAACAATAACTCATAATACAAATTCAACACATGTGATATAGTAGCAGAAGCCACCTGACACATAGTTGGAGACCTGAGTTTTGAATTCTGATTCTTCTATTTATTAGTTATGTATCCTTGAACCAATAGCAACTTCTTTGATCTTAGTTTTCTCAAGACAGAATGGTACTTTCTGACAGATGATATTATGTCTATTACAGCCTTCCACACAATGGTGACAAGTACTCAACAAATGTTTATAATAACTTTTTTACAGTAMGACTATTCATGGAGAAAGCCACAGTATAATTAGTGCTATGCAAAAACTCCACCTATTCATAGAGTAAAACTAAGATTAGAAAAAAATTACTAGTTAAATCCAGGTTGATACAACCAAGGATGATTTTTACTTTTTCTTTTTCCTAAATGAAAAAGAAATTAATCTGGACCTATAAATAAACAATATAAATCCTTTTATAAAGGAATGTCTGAAATATTGTTATCAAAAGAGTAAAATTTAGAACTTGTTGATGATTTCAGTTCCAGAGTTACACTAGCAAATGGAGAAGTAAATTTGGAAGGAAGTAAATTTGGCTTCAACTACTTAAGGATTCTAGAATGGAAAAAAATGGGATTCATGAAAACTGAAAACACAGAAGCAAATCAACTTAGACAGACTTTATTTTATTTTATTTTTAATGAATCAGACCCTATTCTGATTTTGTAATACTCAGTCTCTATACTTGGGTTCAGCACAAATGTAAGTGAGCCATGCATCCAGTAAATTACATATGGAAGGAATTTCTAAAAAATGTCTCCATGAGCCCAACGTTATTCTGAAGCACTGCCTAAGAATTCCAGATGTTTAAAAGAAATAAACTTTTCTTTCAAGTATAATACATTTCACACTTCCAAGTCATGGGGATTCCTAAGCTAATGGGTAAGAACCTACAACAGGACAAGTGTGAATAAGTGACTTATATGTGTTTTGTTATAATGAAAGATATGACCAGAAATATTACGATTGTCAGGAAGTGAAAACTTGTGGTTAAAAACTGAAGTCTAGGGCTGCAGTTGGAGCTCAGCAGTAGAGCGCTTGCCTTGTACACGTGAGGCTCTGCGTTTGAGTCCCAGCACCACATATAAAAAAGCAAATAAAATAAAGGTCCATCAATAATTAAAAAACAAACAAACAAACAAACAATAAAAAAAAAAAAAACCGAAGTCTTACTCTGAGTGAGAAAGTTTATGTATCTTTAAAATTTTCCCAATTCCGGGCTAGGATTGTGGCTCAATGGTAGAGCACTTGCCTAGCATGTGGGAGGCACTGGGTTCGATCCTCAGTACCACATATAAATAAATAAAATAAAGGTCCACTGACAACTAAAAGAAAAAAAAAATTCTCCCAATTCTACTTGTGGTAAACTGTCTATAGTACAATAATAAAAATAACCAACATAGACTGAATTATTGTTGTGGGAAGACTAATGAACAAAGAAAAAGAATACCTGGGTTTAAATTCAGGATCGTCACTTACTAGTTGGGAGATACTCAATATTTAACCTTCTTAAATGTTAGTTTCCCAATTTAGTAACTGGAAAGAATAAAAACACTTGTCCTACCATCTTACAAGATTAGTATAAGGATCAGATGAGATTAAAATTGTGCTTTTGTAACTAAAAAGCATTATAAATGTTATTTACCCTTTTTTTTTTTTTAAGGAATTAGGAATTAAACCTAGAAGCCTTTACTACTGAGCTACATCCCCATACTTTTTCTTTAAAAACTTATATCTTTTTTTTTTAAYCTTTATTTATCTTTATGTGGTGCTGAGGCGCAAACCCAGTGCCTCACATATACTAGGCAAGCACTCAACCACTGAGCCTCAACCCTAGCCCCCCATACCTTTATTATACTTTTTATTATTCTCAGACACGGTCTTGCTAAGTTACTCAGGCTGGCCTCAAATTTGTGATCCTTCTGCCTCAGCTTTCCAAGTAGTAGGATTATAGACATGCAACCCCATATGTGGTTTCTGAATTAGTCTTTATAAATACTGTTAAGCAACTTCTGTTAGCTTTCCTTGATATTCAAACGAGTATAAAAATGAGGCACCCTACTATGTGCACAGCATTTACACTTTTCCAATTATCTCATGCAAGTCATGCTGTCTTCAATGTAACCAATGTTCATTTGTTTATACATTCCACTAAACTGTAAATCCTATGATGATGAAATCTATTTCTTCTTGTTCACATTTTATTCCAAAGTGCTTCATTCCTATTAGACACTCAATAAACAATTTTTTTTTTTCTTTTGGTGGTGATGCTGGGGATTGAACCCAGGGCCTTGTGTGTACGAGGCAAGCACTCTACCAACTGAGCTACATCCCCAGCCCAAAAGAATAAATCTTGACAGAAGAAAAAGTTCCTCCTTGTAGGCTTTTGCTACCAAAAGTCCTGATAAAAAAGATACCTTAATAGCAATTTGTACTTACACATACTAAATACTGACTGGTAAGAATAGAGAAAATTAGAGAAATACTAGAATAGTATCATATTTATGAATATATAATTTAAAAGAAAATCCTTTAACATACTATCAACTAAGACAAAAAACTCACCATCATATTTTGCTAGGACTGCCTGAACATCTGCATAGGCCTGTAATTCTAAAAGTGATTCTAAGAGATTTTCATGGATGTTCAACATGGTAAGAGGAGGAAATTCTTTCATCAACTGTATATTGAAAGAAAAAAAGAGATTAAAATTAGAACAGAGGAACTTTCACTAAAGTTGAAATTCTTTTGCTTCTTTACAAAACTATAGAGACTCAGTCCTTAAAAAATGTATGTATATTAGGAGTTKGGGCTGTAGCTCAGTGGCAGAACGTTTGCCTCACATGTGTGAGGCTCTGGGTTTGATCCTCAGCACCACATAAAAATAAACAAATAAAGGCATTCTGTCCATTTACAACTCTAAAAAACAAATTTTTTAAAAAGTATGTGTATTAAATAAATATCATTATAAAACCTATCAATTAAAAAACAGTAATTCTGTATCAAAATAACTGGTAACTTCAACTACATTTTATTTTTAGAGGAATCCATATAAACAGTTTCAGTTATCAAACTTACTTACATCTCTCATTATTTTCACTGCTTCTCTTATTCTTCCTAATTTTCTTGCACACATTGCCAATCTTCTTTTAATATATACTAGCACATTGGTATCTCTCCCTATATAAAAAAACAAAAAGTAACACAATATTACTTTCATATTATGGCCTGTTATTTCACTAGAATATTATTTCTTAATTGCTTATCCTACAAGATTCAATTAAAATTAAATTGTGTCAAGATGGAAGAATATTTAATGATTACTGAATCTGGGTGATGAATATTTTGAATGGGAATCTCTTACATTTGTTTATGCTTGAAGTTTTATGTGTTAAAAGTTTAGATTACACACACACACACACACACACACACACACACATATATATATATATATATATATTTTTTTTTTTTTTTTTTTTTGTGGTGCTGAGGATTGAACCCAGGACCTTGTGCCTGGGAGGCAAGCATTTTACCAAGTGAGCTATATCCTCAGCCCCTAAATGTTTAAAATATATGTTGAATTACTTTTGCCTCTAATAGTAAGTAATCTGAGTACAGTATATAGAATGTAATTTGTGTTTGAATAACAAATTCAATTTAATATTGCTGGAAAATAAATACATATATTAAAAGGAAAATATAACATTAGCCTATTATTTTAAGTTTCTGCATAATCTATAGTTTTAATATTCTCTATTTTTTAACTGAAAAACTCAAAATGTTCAAAGTACAATTTCTATGACTAATGTAAACTTTTTATTAACAACTAATAACAAACTATGAAACTACTTCTAAGAAGGACTAACAAAATTCTGTAACATGTTTAATTTTAATTTTATATTATGTAAAGACAAATGGCATGTTTTTTGTTTTGGTCAGTATTGAGGATTGAATCCAGAACTCTCACATGGTAGGAAAATTTTCTATCACTGACCTACATCCCTGGCTCTTTTTATTTTTTGTTTTGAGACAGGGTTTCACTAAGTTGCCCTAGTTTGCCCTCAAATTTGTGATCCTTCTGCTTGACCCCCTGAATTGACTTTATTACAGACGTAGTTTCATAAGTTCCAGTCTGCAAAACTAAATATTCCTGCAGTTGTGTGTAATAACATACATTAATGAAACATACTGTAAACATCATATTTAACTTGGAGAGAAAACATTATCTAACTTTTAATTTCCACAAACAAAAGATTTAGAACTTAACTGCTAATGGATAATGCATTACATAAACATATTTCATTTACTTTCTGTTAGTTACCCAAATCATAAAACTGAAATCCTCCGGCCATAAAAGGTAACAAGCAGGAGCAACATTCCTAATTCTAACATCTCTGATAAAGTATCTCAATCATAATCAGAAGAGTATCGTTAAAGATTAGAGAGATCATTTGACCCAGTTATCACACTCCTCGGCATATCCCCAGAGGAATTAAAATCAGCATACTACAGTGATGAGGCCATATCAATGTTCACAGCAGCTCAATTCACAATAGCTAAGCTATGGAACCAACCTAGSTGCCCTTCAAAAGATGAATGGATAAAGAAAATGTAGTACATTGGATTGTTACTCAGCCATAAAGRAGGAGGAAATTATGGCACTTGCCAGTAAATGGATGAAACTAGAGACTATCATGCTGAGTGAAATAAGCCAATCCCAAAAACCCAAAGGCTGAATATTCTCTCTGATATATAGATTGCTGATCCACAATGATAGGGGGGAAGGTGGAGTGGAGGTTCACTGAAATGGACAGAAGGAAGGGAGATAGGAATGGAATAATGAATTGGACATAACTTTCCTATGTTTAAATATGAATACACAGTCAGTATAACTTCACATCACATACAACCACAAAAATGGGAAGTTATACTCCATGTTATGAATGACATGTCAAAATACACTCTACTGTCAAAGAACAAATTAAAAAAAAAAGGAATGGAAAGACTTCAGTTGTTGTGGCTAATCTGATCCCAAACACAATCACAGAAAAAAAATTAACCAAAGAAAAAACCAATGTTACATATAAGGTTGGATTTTATGTTAAGAATCAGATGGTATGACTGGATGTGGTGGTGAAMACCTGTAATCCCAGCAATTTGGGAGACTGTGGCAGGAGGATTGTAAGTTTGAGGTCAGCCTCAGCAAGTTAGTGAGACCCTATCTCAAAATTAAAAATAAAAAGGACTGGGGATATAACTCAGTGGTAAACCAACCCTGGGTTCAATCCCCAGTTAAAAAAAAAAGAATAATCAGAGCCACTCCTTGATGCTACATATAGATAACAGAGTCTGAAGAGCAAACAAAATGATGTCCTGAGTTCCCCAACTCAGGGATGTAGCTGAAGGGTACAGTATTTGCTCTGTATGTGCAAGTCTCTGGGTTTGACCGCAGCAGCAGAAAAAAAAAAAAAAAAGCCTCTATTACTGAGTAAGGATGAAGATAAAGAAAATACCATCAATAGGATCTTCTCAATCAATACTAATAATCACGAGAATGCTCTCCTAAATACCAAATAGTTTTATATTTATGTTTCTCTAATAACCAGGTATTCAATTCTTGTATGAAATAAATTACCATTAAGTCTCAAAACAGCATATTTCCTTTCAATAACCAGAGCAAATTTTATCCTTTTCACAAGCTCTTTCTGGCTATTACATGTTTCTGTCTTACTGGCTTATACAAATTAATAAATTAGTTAAGTAAAAATTAGCTAATCTAGCATTGTTTTTATTGTTGGTGGTCTGTGTTTTAAACATGCAAGATCCAATTATAGGTGCTAAAAGGACAGTAAAAATCAGTTCAAGTTTGCTTACTCAGTTGAGCTTCATGCTGAGGACTCTGGTGCTGGCACTGCTGTGATCGCCTATAAATTGTTTCTCCTGCCTTGAGTGCCTGTTTAAATAACCTTTCAGCATCTACAATAGTGGTTGCTTCTTCCTCGGCCAGTAGAACATATGCAGTAGCACAGCTATAAAGAAAGCAAGCAAGGCAATCTGAAATAAAACTGTAAGGGCAAGTATTTTCTCTTGGGTATATCCCTTTGCTCTAAACCAAGTTTCCCTTAGCTTTACCTATACTTTCCATCTCTTGGGGGAAAAAACAAAAACAAAAACCAACTTTATTAGATGTTTTAATTTCTTGGGGACATACTAGTATATTCATTATGTCTAATTCCACAATTTTTTTCAGTCTCTTATCTTTCTCTTCTATTCTTTCTTCTTTTTTACCTCCATGGTCTGACTCTGTGTTTTCTTTTTTTTTACAAGGGGAGAAAAAGGAAGATATATAAAGAATTGTGTGAAAAGTAGTTCTGGCAACCATATACTACAGTGATCAGACTTGCTCTTAGTCACTACATATTCTGTAATATCCAACTCCTGTGGGCAGCTATGAAAGACAGTGAAGATAAGGAAGAGGGTCTCTATGCTAAAGAGACACCTTTCATATCTGACTCAAAAAAACATTTCAGGACTAGGCTTTTCCTTCAAACGTGAGTATTCCCTCTGCATGTGGCTCTATCCTCCCTTGGACTTATGCACAGTAGAATGCAGCATACTTCCCTTGGTCTGAATTCTAGTCCTTCCTTCAAACTCCTACCCTCATTCCTTATACCCATGMTTACCTCAAGTTTTCTCTTCTTCACCCTACTAAAACAGAGATTTTTCTTTGTATTAGCCAGTCAATGGCTGGCTAATAACATAAATTCGTTCTTATTTTTGGATAAAAGAAGAGAAGGAAAAAGTTTCCATTTTCTTATTTTGGTACTGGGGATTAAACCCAGGGTTACTTAACCATTAAGCCACATCCCTAGTTCTTTTTGGGACAGAGCCTTGTTATATTGCTGAGATTGGCTTTGAACCTGCAATTCTCCTTCCTCAGCCTCCCAAGTCACTGGGATTATASGGCTGTGTGCCACTGCACCTATTTAAAGTTTCCCTTTCATTTCCAGAAATAACAAGTACCTCTCTTTGGGGATCATGTCTTAGTTCTGATAATATAAGCCTACACTGTCCAGAACAGTCAGTAGTCACATATACTTACTGAGCACTTGAAACACGGCTAGTCTGAACTGTAATGTGACATAAGTGTAAAACGCACACAGAATTTTGAAGACTGAGAAAAATATTAAAAATGTTTGTATAGAACACAGTGTTTAACTCAACAAGACGAGAGACACTATTGGTAAAAAGTACAAGTGCAGGCATGAAACAAAAGTGATGGCCAGATAACTATCACCATCAATTAAGGTTGAGAAGARTCTTTCAGATATGGAAATGTAAATCATACCATTTAGGCAAATAGTAGTCTAAATTATTCAATAATTTCACTAATCAACAATAATATCTCCTATATATTACATGGATTTCTCTGAAATATTAGATATACTGCTGCTTTAAACACTAGGTATCCTGCCATTTCCAAAACAAATTCAAATGTTTTAAAATAACCATAATAAAAATACTTTTTAAAAGATCTAGATGGATAAAATTGATGCAGCTGAATCAAAATATAAACATTATTACTTATTTATTTTTGTGGTGCTGAGGATCAAACCTAGGGCCTTACAAATGCTAGGAAAGGGCTCTACCACTGAGCTATATCCCCAGTCCCTCAAGATAATTTTAAATTATAGTTGTATGGTATGAGGAGGTTTTTCTTCTCCTAAAGCCTTCTTGTATTTATTCTTGCACCTGAAGATGTTAATGCAATAAATTAATTATATGAATCTTACTTTGGGGAATGTAATTTTCTTAAGTTGAGGTTAAATTCACATACCAAAAAAATCACAGTTTAAAGTGTTTTAAAGTGCATAATTCAGAGACTTTTAATAAGTTCTCAAGGTTGTACAATTACCAGCACTACATAATTCTAAAACATTTTCATCACCCCTAAAAGAAATCCATAAGTCTCCCTAACTCCTGACAATCATAAATCTATTTTCTCACTTGATAGTGTCCTTTATTGCATAAAAGATTCTAACTGATTAATGTAATTTATTTTTTTCTTATTACTTGTGTTTTTCAGATCCTATTTAATAAACCACTGTAAAATCCAAAGTTGGGGAGATTTGTTCCATATTTTGTTTTCTTCTTCGTCCTTCCTTTATTTACTTACTTATTTAGGAGGTGCCTATCTATCTATCTATCTATCTATCTATCTATCTATCTATTTTAGAGGTGCTGGGAGCAAACCCAGGAGCAATTTACCACAAGCTACATCTCCAGTAGTCCCTTCACCATTCTTTTTTTTTTTTTTTTGAAACAGTGTCTCACTAAGTTGCCTGGAAAGGCTAGCCTTGAACTTGAGATCCTCCTGCCTCAGCATCCTGAGTTAGCTGGAATTATAGGCATATACTATCATGCCCATTTTGATCTGTGTTAGGTCAAACATGTTAGGTCCTTGATTAATTTTGAATTAATTGGTATGTATATGTGAGGTAAAGAGTYCAATTTCGTACTTTTATATGTGGCTATCTAGTTGTTCCAGCATCATCTGTTTTCTAAAAAGACTACTTTTCTCTCCACTGAATGTAGTGGCACCTTGGTCAAAAATCAGTTGACCATAGATATCAACTTATTTCTGGATTCTCAATTGAAATCCATTGATTTAGGTTTCTAYGTTTATGATTTAATTGCTGTAGTTTTGTAGTAAGATTGAAAATCTTGAAGTGTGAGTCCTCCAACTTTGTTTTTCTCTTTCAAGACTGTTTAGGCTATGCAGAGTCACTTGCAATTCCACATGAATTTTAGGACCAGCTTGTCCATTTCTGCAAAAATAGTAATTGATAGGACTACACTGAATCTATAGATCAACTTGGGAAGGACAGTGATGTCATAATAATATTTAAGTCATCCAATCCATGAATAGAGGATGTCTTTCCATTTAAGTTGTCTTTAACTATCTGAACAGTGTATTATAGCTTTCAGTGTACAAGTCTTGCATATTCTTGGTTATATTTATTCCAAAGTATCTTAATAATTTTGATGCTATTGTAAATGGTATTATGTTATGATCTGAATTTGAAACGTCCCCCAAAGGATCATGTGTTGAAAGTTTGGTCCCCAGTAATGTTCAGAGATGGGGCTCTTGGAAGTGATTATTAGATCATGATGGCTCTGACCTCATCAATTTATTAAACCATTAAAGGATTCATAGCTGAATGGACTACTGAGAGGTGGTGGAAAGTGTAGGAGATAGAACCTAGGTGAAGGGAGTAAGTTCTTGAGGATGTGCTCTTGACTATATCTTGTTCCCAGTCTCAGTTACTATTTTTCCCTCTGCTTCTGGCTACTTATGAATTGAGYTGTTATCTTCTGCCATTTCCTTCTGCTATGATGTTCTGCCTCACCTCAGGACCAAAGCAGTGGAGCAGGTCAACCATGCACTGAAACATCAGAAATCATGAGCCAAAATATACTTATCCTCCTTTAAGTTGTTTTTTGTCATAGGGATAAAAAACTGACTAACACAGATTTGTTTTCTTGGTTTCCTTTCCAAATTGTTCAATGCTAAAGTATAGAAATGCAGCTAATTTTTTATACTGAGCTTGTCTCTTCAAACATTTTTGAAATCTTTATTGGCTCTAGTAAGAATGGCTCAGTATATAAAAATTAATCAATATGATATATCACCTTAACAGAATGAAGGAGAGAAATCACTGATCATTTCAAGTGATGAAGAAAAAGCATTTGACAAAATCCAACACCCTTTCATGATAAAAACATGGAAATCAGTTAATGTAATGCATCACATTAATAGAACAAAGGACAAAAACCATGATTATCTCAATCGATGCAGAAAAAGTATTTGACAAAATCTAACACCAGTATATGATGACAACATTTTTAAAATTAGGACTGTAAGGAACCTTCCTCAATCTGATAAAAAAGTATCTATGAAAAACCCAGTGATAACTACGTACTGATTGATGAAAAACTGAAAGTGTTCTGAGATCAGAAATAAGGCAAGGATATCTGCTCTTACCATTTCATTTAACATAGCAGTAGAAAAAAATGTCATCCTAAAAGTAAAACTATCTATTCATAGATAACATTATCTTTATATGTAGAAAATCTTAATTGACACAAACAAAACTACCAGAGCTGGGCTGAGGATGTGGCTCAGTGGTTAAGTGCCCCTGGGTTCAATCGCTAGTACCAAAAAAACTTTCCACTAAAAGGTGAATTATAAGCTAGGAACAAGCACAAATATTTTGTGACAAACATGGAGGGTAAATTCTTGGGAATGATACTGGCCAAAATATATCATTATGTTGTGTGTGTATGCATGTGGAAAAACTCCAATGACTAAGCAACTTTAAAAATATGGAATATCACCTTATATACATTCAAACAACGTATAATAATGACATCTTCAACAAGATTCTCCTGAAAAAAWTGTTTACTTACAAGTTGCAGAGATTCCCTCAGTTAGCACCACTTTGTCTCAGATATCAGTAGTAACAGCAACCAAAATTAAAACGGTCCACCGTCCCACCACCCGCGCCGGAGCTGCGCTCGGAGCTCCCCCTCCGGCAACACACCGCACACAGTGGCGGGAGCGACGCCGCCTCTGTGTGCTTAAATCTACTACTGAACTCAGTAGTAGATTTTTTATTCCCAGCAGAATTTTCAATTTGAGAATTTCCAGTTAGATTCTTTTTATTATCTCTTCCTCTTTATTTATATTATGTAATGGCAAAACATCATTCTTATGGTTTTCATTAGCTCTTTGAACACATTTAAAATAATTTATTTAAAGTCTATTAAGTCCAAAGTCTAGGCTTCTTTAGGTGCAGTTTCTATAAATTTCTTTTCTTTCCTATGCATTGCCCATATATATATTTTTTGTTTTCTTTATAATGTTTCATTGAAAATGGGAAACCCTGATTATTATATTTTGAAAACTCTGGAAATAAGATTGTTTTGTACTCCATCTGTCATTGCTGTTTGTTGTAGTCGCTTGTTTAATGACTTCCCTGAACCAATTTTAAAAAATTCACATTCTTAGTCATGTGGGGCAAATGAAGTGTGAGCTCTGTTAGCTTAGTAGTAAGTTAATGATTTCCTTAAACACTGATTTCCTTAAACACTGAAACTCAAAAAAATCTCACAAAAAAACAGAAGTTTTTGCAGATGGGCTGTGTGTATGTTGTATGTGCACACGCATACCAGGCATCTTCCAACTCTGCCTTAGTCTTTACTTCTTGCTTTCACACAACCTGAAGGTTAGCCAGACATGAGAGCTCAGGGCCTTTTCAACTATTTTCTTTTTCTAAAAATTTATTTATATATATATATATACACACACACACACACATGAATATATTTTAGTTGTTGATGGACCTTTATTTTATTCATTTATTTATATGTGGTGCTGAAAATCAAACCCAGTTCCTCACACATGCTAGGCAAGCATTCTACCACTGAGCCACAAYCCCAGACCATTTTGAAGTCTTTTGTAAGCACATGTTCAACTTTGACCAAGCATAAGACTTTGAGATTCCCAGGTATATGTGGGAGCTCTTCAGAGCCTTAATTCCCCAAAGTGTATCATTCTCCAGCCTTTCCTCATAAGCTTTCTAGCTTGTCTGTTTTTAGCCTCAGCTGTTATCCCTTGCCTCAGACAATAGTGACTAATGCAGTTACCTTTAGATGTTTTCAACAAATGTGCCTTATGTAGTTAATTCAGTTCTGAGAAATGTTCAAGTTAACTCAAATAAAGGCAAGTCCTTTCAGTTGGTCTTTCATGGAGCCACCACACAGGTTAAAACAACCACTGTTCTTTGATAAAATGATATGGATCTATACTTACAATGTGCACTACTGTCTTCAAGGTTAACACTGAGCTAGGGAGTAGATGATCGGGCCAGCGTATATTAAACACGATAGGTATTTTCACCTTTGATTTAACATTCACTAGATTGCTGTAAACTTTTTTATTATTTTGATTGTGAGTTTATTCACTGTTTTTGGAGTTCACTACTCTACCATTTTTGCACCACTTTGGGAAAACATTCCTTGAGTGACCCCAAATAGAACTATATTTTTACTCTTGGCATTTATTTAGTATGTATTAGATTAATTTCTATTAGCTTAGTGCAGTGATGCACAACTGTAATCCCAATGAGGCTCAGTCAGGAGGATTATGTATTTGAAGCCAGTCTCAGCAACTTGGATCTGTCTCAAAATAAAAAGGGCTGGGGATGAATCTCAGTGGTAGAGCATCCCTGAGTTCAATCCTCTACTGTCAAAAAAATATATATAATAAAGTAAAATAAATAAATAAATGTTGTTAACTTGGGGAGGGATGTTGACAGAGTTATGTTTTACTTATTTTGAATCCTCTTCTTATGTCTTTAAGCCCATTAGCAACTGACATTCTCAGTACTGAATAAATGTTCTGAATTAATGATTTAAATGAAAAACAAAATTAAAACACTGGCATAAGCATTTTAATACCCTTATAGTATTATCACATTCTCCATTAAAAAATAATTCTAACATAATTTCTATTCAAAATCATATTTAAGTTTTAAATTTCAGAAACAAAATAGAGATGTCAGTGAATACTGCAAATTTTATCTTTAGGAAGAGGGAACTATAATAGTATAATGTATAATAGTATAATGACTCCAAGGGTCTTAGAAACAGACAAAAGGAAATATAAAATCATTTGCCTGAGTTTCCTTTAAAACAAACTTATTTTCCATATAATTCAAACTTACTCATTGTTTAATTCTAAAGCTTGATAGGCTGCTTTGATTCGAGCTGGAGGATTTCTTTCCCTCCATGCCTTCTGCATAACTGTAGGAAAAATATTTCAAAAGTGAATGAGATGGTAAACATAAATAACTTTATGCAAAACATATGAAGAATGAACAAGGAGAGTAAATAAAGTTTTAAATAATATGTCTTTAAATATATAAAACAAGAAGTTGAGTTTCTAATTCACATTAACTTTATGAGAAATTTACATTAAATATAGAAGGTTTAAGTGTAATAAAAATAATCTTTCTCTGATTTATTTGAATAACAACATATAAGGTACTTAACTAGTTTAATTTCATCATTTATTATATGTGAATATTGATATATCTAAATGCACGTTAAAATTCAGTTTGAGTGATATTAGATTATAATCAACATTAAATATTCCAGTTCAGTTTTTATCATTTTCTAAAGATTCTATAGAACTGCTATAAATATACAAAAACTTAAAAACAGAGTCTGTCTAATCAATAATTCACTCTAAGAAGAATGTGTGGATTCGCATTTTGCATGAAAAGCAGAGGGAAGAATTAATTTAGAATATAATACATCTCTGGAATATGTCACCTTTACCAGAATTCAACAAAAGCCTAAGCTAGAATTTCTCTGGAATAATCATATTAGTTTTGCTACCATTCACTATACTAAAATAAAGATATCACACTAAGTAACATTTCTTAAAAATTAAAGGAACAAACAAACAAAATGAAGATATCTGGCTTAGTTTAAGTTTGATAAGAAAAATAAGGAACCTATGAGTGTTGATTTTGGAACAAAACCCATCTCTGTCCAGAAAGAATAATGTGGAAAATGTTTGATTTTTCCCTTGGAAAGAAAATATTAGTGTTGGCTTAGAAAAGGAGACAATATATTCCACTTGTGTAACAAAAAATTCTTTTCTCATATCAAACATGTCACCAGCTAGCTGACAGCTAATGCTTCCTGAACTTGACAAATTGATGCAAGGCAGCATCCATCTGATACTAAGAACATTATTCTGTTGAAACTCTAAAATATTAAATAAAAATAGAGCATAATAGCATATATAAATTTGCTATTTCTGATGATAGGGCTCTTTTCTATAAGTTATATGATATTTACAAGTCAAATTTTAATACTAAATCTTTACCAACATTTTAAAGAGTTATTTGATATTCAGGTATATTAAGTACATATCAATTTCTTTAACCAATTCCCTTTTGATGGACAACTAAGTTATATCCAATACTTTGCTAACATAAAACTGTGATAACAATCTTTCAGTGGCTATCTTTGCATTGCTGATCAAATATTTCCTTTCTAGAAATAAAAGGTTCTGGACATATATCTCCAAATTCCTCTTAACAATATCATATTAATTTATATTCTCACTTTATAGGAGACTGATCATTTCCATACTTCCTTAACAACCTACTACAAAAGTTGAGCATCCCCAATCCAAAAATCCCAAATCTGAAATACTCCAAAATAAAGAACATTAACCACAGGTGGGCAGTTCCACACGTGACCTCATGTTCTCGCAGTCAAAACACAGGTACACTAAAAATACTGTATGAAATTACCTTCAAGCTAAGTGTATAAAGTGTAAGTGAATTTTATGTTAGGACTTGAGTCCCATTCCCAACATATCTCCTTATATATTTGGAAATATTAAAAAATTTTTAAAAATCTGAAATCCAAATATTTATGGTCTCAAGTATTTCTTATAAGGAATATTCAATCTGCCTTATCAATCTTTGCTAATTTGAAAACAATCTCATTTTTTAAAAAATTTTTCTATTGAGGTTATCTCAAAAATAGTAATTTTTCTTATGTTTCTGTTTTCAAATGCTTTATCTGGCCTTTCAAGATTATTCTTTATAACCCAAGTCAGTCCTAACTCTAAGRGGAAAAGGGAAGTAGAGGAAGGAAAAAATGTGCATTTTTTTTTTCTAAAATAAGGATCAGGAATAATTTAAAGCAAAATGTTGACTTAGTATTCAATTGTTCTCTTTAAGACCTCATGATATGCTTTAAAAATTAATAAAAGATTTTAGTAATTCATTCAAATTTATCTATTTTTAAGCCAAATATTTTGACATTCTAATAAGCACAAGAGACCAGCAGTTATCCCTAGGACAGGGGTCACATATGTAAATGTCTACAGAGGCCAGGTAAGAAACATGACAATGAACTAAAACCACATTTACTGTCTGAAGAGAATAGCCACAATTCATTTCTAGSTTATTACTGCCAAGTGGAAATGTAGATCCACTTTTCCTATACTTTCCAAAAAGTGTAAATCAGATTTTAATGTGAATTTTGCTCTTTATTTATTTATTTTTCTAATAGAATCTCTCTGTTGTCCAGGATGGCCCTTAATTCCTGGCTTTACATGATTCTTCTACCTCAACCTCCCAAGAGCTGGGACTACTGGTACATGCCATTGTGACCAGCATCTTTATTTTTAAATGTTGAAATTAAAACATATAATTCAGAAAACATTGCTGGCTGTCCCTTGAGAATATGGGGTGTTTTTTGTTGTTGTTGTTTTAGTTACAGATGGACATAATACCTTTATTTTACTTATTTTTTTTATATGGTGCTGAGGATCTAACCCAGTGACTCACATGTGCTACRAAAGTGCTCTACCACTGAGCCACAACCCTAGCCCCAAGAATATGCTTGTTCTCTGCCTTAGATAAACAAATTGATGAGAACAAAATCAACTCATTTAATGATTACTAAAGATGATAAGTCAAGGGAAATTTGCCACATCCCATATACATACACATTTGTCTTTTGAATATAAAACTATTAATATATATCATTGGCTTTCTGGGAATTTGGTCTATCTAGTCCAAGCTCCAAGATTTATCTATCTTTCCATCTTGGAATTTGAATTCAGAAGAGAACATTATCATGGAAGATGCATGCTAATATGTTTACTTGAACTGAAAAATGAAATCACAGACTTCACTACCAGAAAGCGTCTGGTTTGGTTAATAAGATTGAAAAATTAAGACATGCATCCAATTAGGTTTCATGGAGGACATATTTCAAAGTTTAAAGATCTAAGTTATATATCTGTAAGGACTTGACAAAACTTTGATTAAAATATATCACATTATTTAGAACCTAGATCAAATGAAATTTACATTWAAAAATGTATACTTTTTTATTGTAGAAAAGTCTGCTTATGATAAAAGACTTAAGCATTAATTATAATACAATTATAAAGTATGTAAAATAGATATGCATTAAGAAGAAAAAGGACTTACAAAAGCTTGTTACTGTTAGAAAACGTTTGATCATGTAGTTTTCAATAGATAAGGTGGGTATCAAATTTTTTTTTTTTAAAGAGAGAGTGAGAGAGGACAGAGAGAGATAGAGAGAGAGAATTTTTAATATTCTTTTTTTTTTTTTTTTAGTTCTCGGCGGACACAACATCTTTGTTGGTATGTGGTGCTGCTGAGGATCGAACCCGGGCCGCACGCATGCCAGGCGAGCGCGCCACCGCCTGAGCCACATCCCCAGCCCCGGTATCAAATTTTTTGATTCCAGGATCTGGGGCAATATATGTAGCTTAGTAGTAGAGTACATGCTTAGCATGTGTCCTGGGTTCAATCCCAGAAAACAAACATACACACATACACATATACATATACACACACACACACACACACACACACACACACAGAAAATAAACTGACTCCATGATGTATATTTAAAATAAGGCATATTAATTTTACTTTTTTAATATCTACATTTTGCAATATGTCAAAAATTACATTCTTTGTAATTATTTTGCCTTGTAATGTTAATTTTAAAAAGATTGAGTTAGGCACAATGGCAAATGCCTGTAATACCACTGACTGGGCTGAGGAAGGATCACAAGTTTGAGGCCAGCCTCAGCAATTTAACAAGGCCCTAAGCAACTCAGTGAGACCTTGTCTCAAAAAATAAAAAGGGCTGCGGACATAGCTTAGTGGTAAAGCACCCCTGGGTTCAATCCCCAGTACCAGAAAAAAAAAAAAAAAGTAAAAGGACACATTTGTGGGGAGCCACACTGAAGGACCATGCCTTCCAGACCTGATGTCTCAGGCTCTGGCCAACCACTCAGAATGCAAGGTCATCTTTGTGGGGCATGCCCCTAGGGTTGAGTTACACTCACCTGTTCCCTTATACTCCTGCCCCTTCTGCCCTTTTATGAATAGAACTTTCTAAGAACAAGAGTCCTCCCCAATAAAAGCTGACTTCCAAATGTGTTCCCTCTCTCTCATCAGCCTCTCATGACTTTCTCTTGCTTTCCCTTTTGGGGAGCCAGAGGATGAAAGACGGGGAAGCCATCCTGAAGCTTGTATAAAGGTAAATCGTGTCTGTGTTTTTATTTTATGTCCCTGCAAATTCACACGAGTGATCTTAGTTCAGCTGCCCGCACTGGTCGGGGGTGGCACACATAATTTTTAAATTCTTTTTGGAGATAGAGAATGTTTTAAGACTATAGTTTTAGTGTAGAAATGTTTTAAGACTACAGTTTTAGTGGACAGTCAGAGTGGCTGTTTGGAAAGTCTACTGATGTTTGCAATTCTGACTATGAGAGGGAGATAAGGGCTAATTTCCAGACTCACTTCAATCCTTAAAATTAAATCATAATACTTACATTCTACTCCTATTTCTAAGACATACTTTTGCTAATAATAACATTAAACTTATAAACATAAAGCAATTCTTTTTTAACCTCTATTTGAAATTAAATATTTTATGAAACCATATCAAAGATCCTTAAATTCCTGCTACCATCCATCCTTAATACATTTAATCCAACGACGATATATGACAATGAACTCAATTCAGTGCTAAGAAACTGGCTTTTTCAAACTACCTATCAATGTGGTTAAGTGGAAGTAGTAGTATTTTAGTGGTTAAAAGCCAAACTGGAGTTTGAAACCTATCCTTATGTATTAGCTGTGTGATTAGGGCATACTACTTGMTCTCTCTTTGTCTTAGTTCCTTTGTTTTATTTATTTATTTGCAGTGCTGGCGATCAAATCAATGGTCTTATGCATGCTAGACAAACACTTCAGCAGTAAGCTTCATCCCCAGAACCAGTTCTTTTATTTTTAAAACTGAACTGATACTAGTACCTCTCATAAAGTGGGAAAATTAAATTAGTACATTTCTACAAATTACTTAAACCAGGGCTTTCATATGTGTCTTCCTTAATAGTGTATGAAACTTGGAGAGCAAGGAATATATTTTCATCTTTGATCCCTATCAGCTAGCACACTGCCTGGCATACTGCAAATACTRTAATATAATTTGAGTTAATATATCTGTTAATATTATTTAATCTGAGTTTCTTGTCAATAATGCAAATAACTTCAACYCAAATAACTCTGGATATTATAATAAATAACTCTAAAGAACTTTTTAAATAATTTTCACAGTCACTGTTTGCACCATGAATAGATATGACATACCTGTGTCTGAAGGACGTAAAAAGTCTGAGTCACAGGTGAAAAAGGTCTGATGGTCCTGTGCTGACAAGTTCATGTCATAGTATGTAAGTGGCTCTTTTCCAGTCACCCAAGTGTATCTTAACCAAAACACAAGAAAATATTTAAATTAGACATGAGAGAGTATCTGTCTGCTATAACATATACTATTTAAATTCCAAAGATAGAGGACTACAAGTTCTATATTCTATTTCAGGATATTTTAAAAATTTATTATACTTAGCAAAATGAGTGAGATAATCTACAAAAACTAATTAAGAATATGATAATAAAACATCAAAAATGAAATCAGAAAGAATAAATTATTCAATAAACAATGCTCTGAATACTGGATTTGAAGGAATAAAACAATGTTAGATATATATCTCATTAAATATATTTGAATAAATTCTCAATGAATAAAAATTAAATATTACAAGTAAAACTCCATAGAAGCTAAAAGAAAGGAGATGAATTTCTACTCAATATCAATATGGTGTAGGGCTTTCAGTGTATAGACAGAGCAGGGCACAGTGGTGCACACCTATCATCTCTACAACTCGGGAGGCTGAGACAGGAGGATCACAAGTTTGATGACAGCCTGGGCAACTTAGCAAGACCCTCTCTTAAAATTAAAAAAAAAAAAAAAAAAAAACTGACTGGGTAAGTATCTCAGTGGTAGAGTGCTCCTGGGTTCAATTACCAGTACCTAATACCATATTTCACTAAAGTAAAATTATAAACTTTCATCCCACCCAACCCTACAATAAACTGTCTAGTAAATACTCTTTTTATTTTCCAAACTAGAGATTGAACCCAGGGGTACTCTACCACTGAGATGCTTCCCAAGATCTTTTTATTTTATTTTGAGATTGTTCTTGTTAAGTTGTTAAGGTCCTCAAACTTGTGATTCTCCTTCCTCTGCCCCTCAAGAAGATGGRATTACAGACATGCACCACCACACCAGGCTAGTAAATACATTTTTAAATGTCAAATCTCATTAGTAATAAACAAATAGTGAATTAAAATTAAGTTTTACTCTTCACCTATCAAACTGATGAAGATGTGTTATCAAGGATGAAGTGGAATATGCATATGTATGTTATGGGAATAAATGCAAATTAGAATACATTTCTCTTCTCAGAAATCAATTGGGTAATATCTATCAAACGTCTTTAAAAAGTTACATCTAGGGGCTGGGAATGTGGCTCAGGCGGTAGCGCGCTCGCCTGGCATGCGTGCGGCCCGGGTTCGATCCTCAGCACCACATACAAAACAATGATGTTGTGTCCGCCGAGAACTAAAAAATAAATATTAAAAAAAAATTCTCTCTCTCTCTCACTCTCTCTTTAAAAAAAAAAAAAAAAGTTACATCTAGGTGGAATTCCATTAAACATTTTCTCTCCTTTAAAAATTATTTTTAAATTTACATAGTAATGATTTTCAAAAATCAAGGGAAGAAAAAAAACTGTTTATACCCTMTGATTCAATAATACCAGTGCTATAAATAAACCCTGAGGAAATAATCATAGATGTGGCTACATACTTATAATATACCAATTTAATGCTAACAGTGGAAAAATAATCTCAGTAACCCAGATGGGAGAGACTATGGGTAAAGTAAGGTATATGCATGCATACAATAGAAAAAATACAACCATAAAAATCACATTTTTAAAGAAATCCATGTTATCAAGAAATTTTGTGGGAAATTCACATAATGTTATATTGGAAAAAAGTAGGATGTATATCTTTGAGTATGGTGTTAAAGTTTTGTTTCTATATGTGCCTATAAAAGAGAGACTGGATGGAGATATTCTAAAATACTAATAGCAATTAACACTTAGTGGTGGAAAAGTGATTTTTACTTTCATTTTTATGCATCTGTGTATTTTTAATTTTGTACAATGAATATGCGTATATTTTACAAACAGAAAAACTGAGTATCAGAAAAGAACATTTTAAATGTTATTTATACATGATCAAAGTTCTTAAGTTATTTTATACCATTAAACAATAGCTGGGCATGGTGGCTCATGCCTGTAATCCCAGCAATTTAAGAGGCTGAGACAGGAGCATCACTAGTTTGAGGGCAGCCTCAGCCACTTAGCAAGACCCTATGAAACTTAGTGAGACTGTATGTCAAAATAAAAAGTAAAAAGGGCTGGGGATGTGACTCGGTGTGTAAGTTTCCTGGGTTCAATCCTCAGCACAAAAATAAATAAATAAATAGCCTTGCTAAAATTTTAGCTTTTTTTTTCCCCCTAAACAGGTATCTATATCTGTAAGCAGATATATTTTAGTTGTCAAAGGATCTTTTATTTATTTATGTGAGACGCTGAGGATCGAACCCAGGGCCTCACACATTCCAARAAAGCACTCTACCACTGAGCCACAACTCTAGCCCTAAAGTTTTAGTTTATAAAAAAAAATTGTCATGAAGAAAAAAGGAAAACCAAATTCTTGTTAATTTATCAAAGTTTTGCTATGCATTCTAAAAGTAAGAAAATACTGAGCTAGAGGTATAGCTCAGTGGTAGAGCACTTCATCTTGCATGTATGAGGCCCTGGGTTTGGTCACTAGCACCATAAAAGACAATAAAAATTTAAAAATAATTAGYAATCCATATTATTCCTAAAATGATTGGAGGCAGATGAAATACAAAGTATAATATAACCTACATTGAAAGTAAATTAAAAAGATTCAATAGAGGAAAAATAATAATTGGGACACAAATGGAACCTAAAATGAAATTAACCACAAAGTTCAGTGCATTTACTAAGAATTGATTACAGTATGGCTTTAAACTTTCTAGAACTACAAAATGATTATCAACCAATTCAGACTTTTTTGAATTAATCATTCAAAAGAAGCATATTTCTGGTACTAAGAAATTTCTCTTTAAAATCTTCATGAAGTGGAATCTGTATAATATAACAAGGAACTGTGGCAATAACTTAATAAACAGTGTAGAAAGTTCAAGGACCTCTTACAGAATCCCTTAATACAGGTTAAAGACATCTCTCATAAAAGCCTAGTTTTCACTTTCTAGGATGCCTCTATCTTACACTATCAAGTACTTATAAAGAAGGGTTATTGTTTAATCATTTTTGTATCTCCATCATGTTGCACAGAGTAGGGTTGTAGAGTGAGTTAAATAACATGCTACAATCTACCTCCAGGTAAAACAAAGTCCTACTCAAAATAAAAATGAAAGTCAGGGCTGGGATTGTGGCTCAGTGATAGAGTGCTCACCTAGCATGCATGAGGCACTGAGTTTCATCCTCAGCACAACATAAAAATAAAAATAAAGATACTGCATCCACCTAAAACTAGAAAATACATATTTTTAAAAAATGAAAGTCAAATGTCAATAGTTGGAAGTTTCTAGAGATGCTTTTTCATTCACAATAAAACTGGAAGAAAAATGAACACAGTAGTGTAGAGAGGAGATGGTAATACAAAATCAATAAAAAATCCTGTACCGTTGCACAAATATGAGCTCATATTCACATTCAAATTGATGTTTTCTAGTGAATCTTGAAATCTTGAAATTGAGCACATATGCATAGGAGTTTGTTGACACCTACAATTTTTTTAACCTCAAGAATTCTTTAAAAAAGGCTTTCTAACATAAACTAAGGGACTTATTATATATCACAAACATGATTTAAAGCATTGCTTCTAGTGATTATAAATATAGTCAAGATGCTGCCACAAAAACTTCAACTAATCTTTTTACCTTATTATATATATCAACATCTCCAACTAGAAGAAACTGTGATATATTTATAAAAACAAATGTTTCCATAGTACTTTCACTCTACTTATAATGAAAGCAAAATGTAGTACCTTCTATATTCTGCTCCTCTGAAAAGGTTTAAAGGGTTTCTCCATACCTTGCATTCTGAAAAACATGGGRAAAAAAGAGTTCAAACAAATGCAGTCAAATCTTTATTTAATCAACATTCACTGTCTACCCAGTTATTCTAAGCACAGAACTAGCCACAGATGATACAAAGACAAATAAACCATTAATCACCCTGGCTCTCAAGAAGCATAGAATTAAATCTAGTCATTCCCTTATTTCTGTCTCCATAGTGTTTGGTTCATAATTCAGTTATGTCAGTTACCATTTAAAATGTGATTGATTATCTGTTTGGATTTTAATTTCCCCTCTCAAATATGATATCTTAGCTCACTTTTATGTTTGTGAAGCCTACCACAGTATCTGGAACTGACTTGTTTAACTGAATTAAATACAGCATGAATGTTAGTATTATGAACAATCACCTAAACTGTATGACAAGTGCTATAGTTGAGACCTGTTTTATTCCAACCAAAAAAAAAAAAAAAAAAAAAAAGGAAAGTGAATTTTTCTCTGGAGGAATCAGCGAAGGTTTTAGGGAGGAGGTGACATTTGAACTGATGCTGAATCATTGAATCATAAAAGATGAGTAGAAGATTGCCACATTCAAAGCAGAGGAAGTACCATAAAACTGTACATCATGTTTAGGCTAGAGCAGATGGTAGGGTGTAGGAGGACGAGCTGAAATAAAGGTAGACTGAAGGAAATTGATGAAGAAACTTATATTCCATTTTAAAGAGTCTGAAGATGATATACAATCAATCAACAAATATATGAAAAAAATGTTCATCATTGCTAGCAATTAGAGAAATGCAAATCAAAATCACTCTTAAGATTTCATCTCACTCCAGTCAGAATGGCAGCTATTAT